AAGCGTACACAAAAAAAATTGAAGAAGAAACAAGCAAGAAAGATACAGAGAAAATATAATAATTAATCAATGACAAATACATAAAACATAATTATTTAAGATCCCTTGAACTTAAAACTCTTGTATTTGGTGTCATTGATGTTGATGAGAGTAATGGTTTGGTATTTTCTACATTAGCCACTGACATACTTGATGTAAATTTTTTTAATTTTTCAATTTCTGTTGGTGATAAACTTAACGGTGATGAACTGGCATGATGAAGAATACTATTGACATCAGTTAAAGATAATGATAATGTCGAATAACGTTTGATATGTTTAACAATATCTTTAACACGAACAGATTTGGCTCTTGCTGCAGCTGATTCACCACGATGACTAAGAATATCTGTACGAGCGCCTTTATCAATTAATAATTGAACTATGTCTGCATGATCACGATCTATACCCCAATGAAGTGCCGTCCAACCTTGTTTATCAGTTTTATTAACTGCACAATTTGATTCCAAGAGAACAAGCGCAACACCTGGATGATTATGATAAGCCGCTAAAGAAATATATATATATTTATTTATTTATCTTTCAATAGAAAAAGAAAATATTTTCTATATGTACATACCATACATTAATGGTGTGAAGTTATCGTGATCAATTTTATTAACATCAGCTCCAGCTTCAATTAACATACAGGCTATTTCAGCTAATGTTGCTTCATTATCAGATCCGCCATTATTTACTAGCGATAATTGTGATGAAGAAGTGTTTCTTGGCGGTGATCGACTAAAAATTAAAAAAAAACAATATTTATTTTAAAATAAATAAATATTTTTTTGTTTGGAAATATACCATAATTCATGTAGTGATGTACGACCTTGTTCAGTTTCAGCATCAATATCGGCACCGGCTTCTAATAATGTTAAGATAATATCCGGGTTGCAAAAATAGCATGCTTTCATTAATGGTGTCCAACGGAGTTTATCTGAATTATGTTAATTAATTATTAAACAAAAAATCACTTGTACAACAAAACTAACCTCGAGCATTGACATCACTTCCAGCATGTAATAGTTTTTTAGCTATTTCTGTATAACCACGTTGTGCTGCATGATGAAGTGCTGTCGCATCTCGAGCATCTTTTATTGCTATTTTAGCATTATTTCGCAGTAAAACTTCAACAACAAGATCATGTCCATTTGCTGAAGCCTATAATAAAATAAATAATAATGAAATTTTATTGATATA